TTACGTGTAAAAATGTGGTCTCACGGGTCTCACGAAAACAGGCTGGTCTCACGTGAACCCAACCCTATATATATATATATATATATATATATATATAAACTAGCTTTTTATAATATTAGATATATACTTATATAATAGGAGGTCTTTTTTTAAAAACTTCGTAATTCATAAGATTTAATTTAGACCGTATAAATTAGTAAATTTAATTTTTAATTTAAAAAACTCTCTCTCCTATCTCCTTTGTTTAGTTTTAATATTTTAAAACATATTTTTTACGTAATTTAATAATAATTATTATTATTATATTTCTTATTATAATTATAATAAAAATGGAAAAAAGGAAGACAGAGAAGCCATGGACGAGTATATATAGGAATCCCCATCTCCCCAATTATACAAAAACTGTAAGGCTCATTATCTGATTTGAGTGTGAGTGTGGGTGTGAGGGTTAACCCAAAGACGAGTATGGTGAGCAACACGCCAATCGAATCAAATTACGATCGTGAATCCGAATTAAAAGCTTTTGATGATTCAAAATCCGGCGTCAAAGGCCTTGTCGACGCTGGATTGACAAAAATCCCTCGTTTTTTCCACCATCCTCGACCCATAATCAACGAGCCAAAATCATCAACTCTTCAGACTCAGGTCGATATCCCAATTATAGACCTCAAAGAAACCAACGCTCGGGCCGAGATTGTGGAAAATGTTCGATATGCTGCTGAAAACTGGGGATTTTTCCAGATAATCAATCATGGGATCCCGCAGAGGGTATTGGATGAGATGATTGATGGAGCACGAGGTTTTCATGAGATGGAGACGGAGGAGAAGATCAAGTATTACTCTCGTGATTACCAGAAGAAGTTTTTTTATACCAGCAATTTTCATCTGTTTACAGGTGATGCAGCTAGCTGGAATGATACGTTTCTGTCGGTTATGGCTCCTCAACCCCCTCAACCTGAAGAACTTCCCCCAATTTGCAGGTATTACGATGTTCAATGTAATTATTAATTATGAACACCCGACACCAAAAATGTTTAATTTATGATAAATTTATACAACGGTTTTGCATGTCGTAACAAGTTTCTTAAACCAATTTTAAAATGAAGCACATGTATTAGCTTTTTTTATACGAGACTTTGAGAAAAGTATCCTATAAACATCTCTTTTTTATAAGACGCTTGTTTTCAAATAAAAAAATATTATGACGTCAAATGTCAAAACATTTATTAAAACGTCATATAAACTTATTGTAATATTTGTATATATGACATACATATTAAGAGTATTAATCTGCAAATGCTTATTTTTATCTCTTCCTACATATATAGACCCTGCTTTAAAAAAAAACTATTAATATGCAGGAACATCATAACGGAGTACTCTGACCAAATCATGAAATTGGGGTTTACTCTTCTGGAGTTGTTATCTGAGGCTCTTGGTCTAAAACCAGATCACCTCAAAAGTTTGGGATGTGGTCAAGGACTTTTTGTCTTGGGTCATTACTACCCACCTTGTCCTGAACCAGAATTGACATTTGGTGCAAACTACCATACTGATTCTGGTTTCTTGACCATAGTTCTACAAGATTCATTGGGTGGCCTTCAAGTCTTACACCAAAAGCAATGGGTTAATGTCTCACCGCTTCCGGGTGCTTTAGTCGTTAATATCGCGGATCTTTTGCAGGCAAGTTTACGTCATTCATGAAACAAAAATATATGTTTTCTTGTCGATAAATGATGGAACTAACTTTCATCTTTTTGCACACGTAGCTCCTCACGAACGATAAATTCAAAAGTGTCCATCATAGAGTATTGGCACAAAAAGGAACACCGAGGATATCAGTGGCAGCCTTCCTGCGGCCGTTTCATGAGGGGATCGAGTCAATTGTTTACAGGCCGATCAAAGAGTTGGTATCTGAAGAAAACCCTTGTGTATACAAGGACGCCAGCTTGGACGAATTTGTGAGACTTCGAAGGAATGCTGAAGGACTAGATGGAAAATCTGCCCTTGCTCCTTTCAAGTTGGATCCATGAAGGTCTACAAGTGTGTTTATTGCACCTAGCTAGCGAGTTTGATTCGACTTAAGTTATGGTATTTGGTGATTTCTATAATGTTGTTTATGAGTACTAATAACGTTGTTCGTGTGTGAACTTTATGGTATGTGGTTATTTCTATAATGTTGTTTTTGAGTACTAGAAACGTTGTTTGTTGTTTTTAAAAGCGCAAAAAAATAAAAATTCATTTGTGTCTACGGAGGTTCAAATGTGGTGACTCCGGTTTACCTGCAAAGCAGGTGGTCCCCCTGGAATTAGTCAGCTCGCATAGCGGATTGGATATCCAGGTTAATAAAAAAAAATCGTAAAAAACAATAACAATCAACTCAACATCTACACCATTTTTAAGATTAGATCATCTTTAACACATTCTCCAAGATAGGAAAATTTGGTGAGAGATAGATGGTGTGAAACTATTTAAATTTGGAAAATTCTCCATAAATGATTATCAAGAGAGAAATGTCTTTTTATCATTTTCTCACCAATAAAAAAATTTGAAATTAAATTTTATGATAAGAAATATTAATATTTTCTTAAATATATGTAATATTTTAATAATATAATTAATATTGTAATCTCTAAAATTAAGAATCTGTTACAGTTATAGATAACCTTTTCTAAAGATTTTGAATTTTGATTCCAAAATTTTGGAGAAAATATGTTGGAGACGTTGTTACAACATTAATTAAATTATTAAGATATTCTTTAGCCAAATTTTTTTAAAATTTCCATTATTTCCATCTTATAAAATCCATTAGAGATGCTTTTAAATTATGGAAAATTACACAAACATAAAATCATGATTTTTTTTAAAATCTGATAAGTTGTGATGCTCTAATTTTTGATGTTTGGAACGCCCAAAACAATTTACAGTATATTTATCTTTGTGTAATGGCTAAAAGCGCCTTCAAGAGCTTCTCTAAAATAAGAAAAATTGGAGAAAATGAGGATTTTGAATCAATATTTTGCTCCAACAGCTTCCACAAAACTATCATTCAACATGGATAAAGTAGGAGAGATAAGAGTTTTTTCTCCAAATATGGAGATCACCTAAAAAATAAATTTGAAATAAAATATTTAGAAAAAGAAATAATATTTTAATAAATAAATGAAATATTATGATATTATAATTAATATTAGATTCTCTAAAATAGGAAATCTGTTGGAAATAAATATAATCCTTTTTTTTAAAAATTATTTTATTTTTATTTGGAAAATATATTAAATATGTTATAATAGTATTGGATATTATTTGTTTACTTTTTAATAGTTCCATTAAGAGATAAGCCTTTGAATCGTTAAGAGGTAGATTTTGTTTGGCAAAAAAAAACAGTCTGTCTTGTTTGGCAAAAAAACAATCTGTCTCTTAATAGTTATAAAACCATATGAATGATTTTGTATTATGGGTCTCTTTTAACCATTCAGCACCCTGATTTCATTGTATATAATTATCAAACAATTATATTTTATTTTACACTATATAATAAGAGTATTTTAATCATTTTACTCCATATCATTTAACAACTGTCAAACAACCCCTTAATCCAAAAAAATGCAACTGCTTTCGAGCACTTTGGTTACCCACACTTGGGATCCGAATTATATAAAATTCTCAAAAATATCATTGACTTTTATAATTTAATGAATAAAATATTTAACATTTTATTCGCCATGAATTTATAAATACTCTTTTTGTTGCCTATATGCATTTGATCGTCGTCAGGACGTGTTATTTTGGACATTTTAGTCTGTTTATTTTTATTTATTTGAAATTATTTTATTATATAATTTAATAATAATTATAATATAACTATTTTTCTTATTATAACTCTCTTAATTTATAAAGTTCTTATAATAATTAAGAATAAGCATAAACCGAACCAATTGTCTATATTACAATAGTTATGAAGGTACAATACCTTTGGAAGTTAGATTGTTCAAAGCGTTAAAAATATTTTTTGGGTTTTTGAAGAGAAATTACTCGAAAAGGTTTGGGTATTAGTCATGAAGAATCAATAATGTACGGTTAATTTGCTGGAGAAGGGGGGGGGATGAAGGTGGTTGTGTCGGAGTATGCAAGGGAGGGTGTAACACCCCAATATCATATTTGCATATAAACATATATTTCCTCATATCATGAAATATAAATTTACACAATTGGTCTCACTAATTACAAAATAACTACCAATTTTTTCCACAAAGTTCCTATACAACACTTGAATACATAAGAAGTATTCAAATACAAAAGAAGAATGTGCTAGCCCAAAATTACATGCAAGCATATATATATATATATATATATATATATATATATATATATATATATANAGCGATCAAATGAAAACCACTCCAATTTGTAAAAACCGTAAAAACTACTCTCATCAATCGTTAATCTTATGAAATTTTTTCATGAAATTGTTAATCTTGTGAAATTGTTTCATATAATACTTTTTTTGATGAAGTTATTTCATATGTGGTTATGCAATTGTTTCATATAATACTTAATGAAATTTTAATGAAACTGTTTCATGTATTTCTCTAAAATTAAAGTAATTAAGATGATAATATCCATGATTAACACCCTCTACAATAAAAATGGTTAATCAACCTCTCATAATTATAAAAAAATGAACAAAATGAAAAATTATGATTGGTTGAATGAGGTTTTCACGTTTTTACAAATTGAGTGGTTTTTATTTGAACCCACCCCTATCTAGATATATATATATATATATATATATATATATATATATATATAACTTCACAAGTTTCTCATCCCCTCCTCTGATTGAGAACGACCTGTAATACACATTTTCAAAACACAAAATGAGGGTTGGACCTTGAGGTCTAATGAGAAATCCATTTGATGCAATTACAGGGTGAATAATCATCAAATCACATTTATGAAATCATATTCATAATAATAACAAATATACATTATTTTGATATAACAAACCTCATTTATTGCATCCAAATAACTTAATAAACACATTTTGAGTAAACTTGTCGCATCATATAGATGATTATATAATTTTCTTGTATCACATGGGTGAGACAAATCCAACTCCTATGTTGCGAAAACCTCAACTCATTGCATCACAATGGTGATAAACCCAACTTGTCGCATCACACATGTGCGATAAGTCAATTTTGTCACATCACAATGATGCGATAAACTCACTCCTCGCATCAAAATAGGTGCGATAACCACTTTTTATCACATCAAAAGGATACGATAACTTTAAGTCATTGCATCACACAGATGCGATAACTCCACGTCATCACATCATAAGGATGCGATAACAATGAATGTTTAATCAAAACTCAGTTATAACTCATGATTTTGTCATCCTTATCCTGGTATACACCTCTCTTTGATATGTCACCTTTATAACCAAAATATACCTCTCTTTGATATGTCACTTTTATTCCAACACATGATATAAACATAGCAATGTCTCACAATTATGCCAGCTATGGCGTCAAAAATAGTTTTATAACAACAACTCACATAAAAAAACCATATGGTTCTACATTTTATCTTCCAAATAAGGAAAGTTTGTAAACTTAAACTCACCTTAATCACAAAGAGATGAAGTTATGGAGATGAATAGCAATTAATCCAGGTAAGAATTCACAGAATCAACATTCTTCTTTTCTTCCTCTTTTGGGTTTTCTTTTCTCGGTTTCAAAGATCACATACCACTATAAAAGTCTTACCAAATTTTTTTAAACAAACATCATTCCAATGAGATAAAATAAAGAGGCGGTGAAAAAGAAATTTTAGCATATAACCAACTTAAACCCTTCAACTTACCAACATTAATCAGAAACCACCTTGATCTTTATAAACAAATAACCCGGTTATCACATTATCCTCCCCTTAAAAGAATTTCGTCCCATAATTCATTCAATCAAACAACTGAGGATATTTTGATCTTAATTCTAATTCCAGTTCCTATGTAGCTTCTGGACTCTTACGAAAACGCTTGTCTTCCGGTCAGTGACGGCCTCAGGGGTTTCCTCAAAATTCAACTTATTATCAACTTGCACCTCAGGTAGCAGTACTGCCAAATTCGGATTGGCTAAACACTTTCACAAGCTAGACTCATGAAAAGTGTTATGAATTGTATTGAGTTCCTCAGACAACTCCAATTGATATGCTACTGAACCAACCCGCTTATAAATTTTAAATGGCCCAACGTACCTCGGACTAAGCTTACCTCTTTTCCCTACTCAAACAAAACCCTTCCACCGAGAAACCTTTAACATTACAAAATCTTCCTACCAGGAATTCAATCGGTTTGCATCGTTTGTCGGCGTAAGTTTTCTGTCGGTCCTGAGCTATTTTTATTCGTTCTCGTATCTGATCTATCTTTTCAGAAGTTATTTGAATGATCTCTGGACCAACCAACTGCTTATCCCCCACTTGATTCCAACATAACGACGTTCTGCATTTTCGGCCAAACAAAACTTTATACGGTGCCGCTTGAATGCTAGAATGATAACTATTGTTGTAAGCAAATTCGATTAGAGGTAGATGATTTTCCCAAGATCCCCGGAAGTCAATAATACAGGCTCTCAACATGTCCTCAACGGTTTGAATCTTTCTTTCACTCTGCCCATCTGTTTAAGGGTGATATGTCGTACTCAATCCGATCTGAGATCTCATAGCTCTTTGGAAGCTCTTCCAAAACTTAGCAGTAAATCTGTTGTCCCTATCTGAAATAATTGATAATGGAACACCATGACGAGTCACAATTTCTTCAATGTAAATCTTCGCAAGCCTTTCTAAAGAATAATTCTTCTTAAATGGTAGAAAGTGTGCAGATTTAATTAAACTATCCACATTAACCCATATGGCATCATACCCTTTTGGAGTTCGCGGTAACTTCGTGACGAAATCCATTGTGATATGATCTCACTTCCACATAGGAATTTCCACAGATTGTAACTTCTCATATGGTCTTTGATGCCTA